GGGCGGGGGGGGAGGGTGGTGGTGCACAGGACATGGGGACACCCTGTGCTCTGTTCCTACCTGTTCAGGTCACTATGTGCACTTCGACACCAGGGTGCTGGGCCCAGGGAGCACCACTGCCAGGCTGGAGAGCCAGCACCTGCCTGGTGCTGCTGACTCCTGCCTGCGGTTCTGGTACCACATGGACATCCCGGAGCACCTCTGTAAGCCCTGCTCTCCCTGGGGAGGGCGTCATGAGCCCACGATGGGAGCAGGGGGGCTTGGTCAGGGGCTGCAAACCCCCTCCCCACCCATGGGACCATGAACACTACAGTTCAGCTCTGGCTGGGCAGTGAGGAGGAGTGGGGTGCAGTGGCAGGGCACCAGAGCCAGGGCTGGCGAGGCGGCGTGGTGCCTGTGCAGAGCCCTGGCAAGTTCCAGGTGAGCAGGGCAGCCGTGGCGTGCAGAGTGCCCTCCAGGGGTGTGGGGTGCCTTCCCCAGGTATCACCCCCTACATCCCATCTTCCCCTGCAGATCATATTTGAGATCACCACGCGGAGGTGGCCGATGGAGGGGACGGTGGCGCTGGACGACATCATGTACAGCACCGTGGGGGGCTGCCGTTCCAGCCCGGAGGGGCCAATGGAAGGTGAGGGGACAGTTCTGGCTGTGAAAGGTCAACCCAGCACTGCTCAGGGTGCTGGCACTGAGGCTGGGGCTGGAGCCAGCTCTCCTGGGTGGTGAGTCGAGCCTGGCAGCATCTGTTCTCCCTGCAGAGAAATCCTCCGGCAGCTTTGTGGCAGAGGTGGTGCTCAGTCTTCTCCTGGTCATCATTGTCCTGGTGCTGGTGGTTGCTGGAGGCTGGTACTTGCTGAAACGGCAAGGGCTGGCAAGTGGAACACCATCAGAAAGCAATGCTCCCCAGGGCTTTGATAACATCACCTTTCGAGATGTAAGGACAGGGGTGAAGGGCTCTCCTGCTTGCCACCAAACAGCAATTTTCCTAAAAGCTCAGCAAATCCCAGCAGGTTCCCCCTGAGCCTGCACTCTGCCAACACATCAGGGAGGGGCAAAGGGCTCGGCCTCTTATCTGGTTGCCTGCTAACAAGTGACCCCGAGCTGTAGGACTGACCTAGAAATGCTCCAGAAAGAGCTGAGGCTGCGGTCCTCCTCCCCAGAGCCCTGTGAGGAGCAGGTCATGCAAACATTGCTCATCCTCTTCAAGCCAGCAACTTAAAACCGCGAGAAGCAGCTTAAGCTACAGTTTCCTTTGAGGGGTTTGGTGTCACGTAGTCCCCAGCAGAGCCACCAGCTCCAGTCAGCCCAGGACTGACCCCCAAAGGGGACATGGAGCCCCCCCCAGCATGCTGGGGGGTTTTGTTCCTCTGCTGGGGTCATGGTGGGCCAGCATGTGGGTTCTCCCCTCTGCAGCCTGGAAGAATTGCTTGTATTTAAAATTAGACAACAGCCTGTGCTTACTGTAACCAATTCCCATTCACCTTTTTTTTACAGGACAAGGTCATTATATCTCCAGAGCAAAAAGAGGGGGATGAGGTTTGAAACAATCAGCCAGCAGCAGCAATTGCCTACTCACACCTGCGAGGCATAAGCAGAGGCAGAGCGTCCCTCCAGCAGGACCTCACACTCCAGCAGCCACTTCGGGCTCTCAGCATCCAGCACTGGGGAGCTGCTGTGGGTGCTCACCGTGGGGGTGCCAGCCCTGCAGAGGGACGTGCCACTGCCTCCACTACCTCCGTTGCTCGGGAAAAACATTGGTTTTTTTGTAACATGAATTTTCTGCTACAAGATGTAGTGATGTGTCAATGATTTGACAGGCACCGCCAGCAGCAGTTTCTTGCTGTCCTCTCCTCTGAGCAGGGTCCTGGCTGTGGAAGGGGGTGAAGTGCACAGTCCTGCCCCCCCCCCGGGCTGGGCAGATCAGCGGGTGGCGCCCCGGGGACG